ATTTATTTTAAAGGAACAGTTCACCCAAAAATGCTGCCATCATTCACTCACCCTCATGTCATTCCAAACTTGTATGCATTTCTTTCTTCTGCTGAACACAAAGGCCGATATAGCACTTTATTTTACAGTATCTGTACTTCCCTGTACATACATGGTAAATATCTTGTACCTACAGGCAAATGAGTGGTAACACAAGGTACTTACCTGAAGTGTATTTACATGGTAACAAATAAGAAACACGGCTGTACTTTAACAGTCGTACATGCATGGTAATTATTTTGTACATACAGAAAAGTGTGGGTAATAACGGTCACTTACATGTAGTGCCCGTACATGGTAACTAATTAGATACTTTACTGTACTTACTAATGTATATACATGGTAAATATGTAGTACTTATGGACAAGTGGGTACAAACAGGCACGTCCTTACAGTATCCGTATATGGTAACTAATAAGACACATTGCTGTACATACTAATGATATACCACAATGATATCCACATAATGACAGCCGTGGTTCTTATTTGTTACCATGTACATGTAACGCAGGCCAGAGAGTAGGTGCTGTGCAGGTAAACTTCACTCCCCTGATCTCGAGAGACGCACTAGCGACTGACGCTAATGGCTGCAGTCTTTAGCCTCCTTGTTAGTGCGTCCGCCTCCCACCCCGGAGACCCACTCGGAACAAGAACGAGGTGTGGCGGTGAGGACCCAGGAGAGAAGGGTTACATTGGTGCCGTGACCCAGATGGGAGTGAGGTTTAGGGGGGTGAGTGTAACGGAGGCCAGTGAGTAGGTGCTGTGCAGGTAAACCTCACTCCCCTGATCTCGAGAGACGCACTAGCGACTGACGCTAATGGCTGCAGTCTTTAGCCTCCTTGTTAGTGCGTCCGCCTCCCACCCCGGAGACCCACTCGGAACAAGAACGAGGTGTGGCGGTGAGGACCCAGGAGAGAAGGGTTACATTGGTGCCGTGACCCAGATGGGAGTGAGGTTTAGGGGGGTGAGTGTAACGGAGGCCAGTGAGTAGGTGCTGTGCAGGTAAACCTCACTCCCCTGATCTCGAGAGACGCACTAGCGACTGACGTGTGTCTTGTTAGTGCGTCCGCCTCCCACCCCGGAGACCCACTCGGAACAAGAACGAGGTGTGGCAGTGAGGACCCGGGAGAGAGGGGTTACATACATACTCTTCAGGTAAGTACCTTGTGTTACCACTCATTTGCTTGTAGGTACAAGATATTTGCCATGTATGTACCAGGGAAGTACACGCACTGTAAAATAAAGTGCTACCAGATATTCTGAGGAGAGAGGGGTTACATTGGTGCCGTGACCCAGATGGGAGTGAGGTTTAGGGGGGTGAGTGTAACGGAGGCCAGTGAGTAGGTGCTGTGCAGGTAAACCTCACTCCCCTAATCTCGAGAGACGCACTAGCAACTGACGCTAGTGGCTGCAGTGTTTAGCCTCCTTGTTAGTGCATCCGCCTCCCACGCCGGAGACCCGGGTTCGAGACCCACTCGGAACAAGAACGAGGTGTGGCGGTGAGGACCCGGGAGAGCGGGTACATTGGTGCCGTGACCCGGATGGGAGGGAGGGTTAGGGGGGGGGGGGGAACGGAGGCCAGCCGGTTACATTGGTGCCGTGACCCGGATGGGAGTGAGGTTTAGGGGGGTGAGTGTAACGGAGGCCAGCACAGCGAGTAGGTGCTGTGCAGGTAAACCTCACTCCCCTGATCTCGAGAGACGCACTAGCGACTGACGTGTGTCTTGTTAGTGCGTCCGCCTCCCACCCCGGAGACCCACTCGGAACAAGAACGAGGTGTGGCAGTGAGGACCCGGGAGAGAGGGGTTACATACATACTCTTCAGGTAAGTACCTTGTGTTACCACTCATTTGCTTGTAGGTACAAGATATTTGCCATGTATGTACCAGGGAAGTACACGTACTGTAAAATAAAGTGCTACCAGATATTCTGAAGAATGTGGGTAACCGAACAGTTTTGTGTTCCGTTGGCTTCCATATATTTTTTGTACATAATATGTAAGTCAATGGCACCCGAAACCATTTGGTTAATAACATTCTTCAAAATATCTTCTTTTGTGTTCCACAGAAAACAAGCAAACAAACAAAAAACAAAAAAAAGTCAGGTTTAGAACCAGTGTTCTTTTTTAGTAACACTGAGATACTATTGTAGTTTTTATTAATATTTTGAATTCAATTCAATTCAAATTTATTTGTATAACGCTTTTCACAATACACATTGTTTCAAAGCAGCTTTACAGAAAATGCATGTGTCTACATTACAATTACAATTCGTCATCATTAATTGAATTATTTTTATTAACTTTTTATTTTCCTACTTTCATTTTAATTTTCAAAAATGTAAATTTTAGTTTTTTTTGTTTGTTTTTTTGTCATTTTTATTATTTATTAATATTAATTTTATTATTTAGTTTTAATAGTATTAAATTAAACTAAAAGAAAATTAGAAATTTTGTCTTGTTGACAGTTGAAATAAACCTTGTAAGTTTCAATAAAATAAAATACACAAATCTTAAACTTTATTTCAGTTCATGTTTAATTTATACAATTATTTGTATGGTTTTAATTAATTATAATGACCCTGTTTGTCTTTTTTTTAATGCTTATATAATTTTCAGTTTAAATGAGAAATTAGCTGAAATTAAATATAATATATTTAGTTCATGTTTATTTGATAAGTAACAATTTTTTATGGTGTTAGTTTTGGTTCACTATAATAACCCTGTTTAGAACAACATGAGAGTGAGTAAATGATGGCAGAATTGTAATTTTTGATTATTCCTTTAAATTGATGGAAGTTGCTAAGTAGGTTGCAAGTATTGGAGCCTTAGGTAGTCTGCATTGCATCATCAATACATATTGCATATTTGCATAAAGCTCAGTCACTATTGACATCCCAAATCATCAATTCACACTGAAACTGCATGATGTCCAATAGTTTTGTGGGTGCAAATCAATGTCGGTGTGAATGCAGCCAGAATTCTAAAGTGATGGCAAAATGAGACCCATTTTTTCATCCAATAAACTTTATTACATCCAGTTACACAGTCCAGCATTGCACTAGCATGTACGCACGACTTGAAGAGAATTCAACACTTAAGTACAAAGCACAACTGATTGACGTAATGAAATTTTCACAAACCAGCTGCCACCGTCACAAGCGCATAGGAGAGGTTCGATCAGAAAAGAACTTTGAGATAAAAGATCTTTCCACAAACCACTCATGCATCTACTTAGACAACAGTACTCAAGAGCAATACCTGAGGAGTAATACGTATGACAATAAAATAAACCGATGCGATATAACAAGAGAAACATTAGCTTCTGTATTTTCTCATTTAGACTACTTTTTAACATATATTTACAGCCACTCTTTTAGAATTTGTCTGTAGAGTTTTTGAATTGACATCAACAAAGTACTATAATAATACATACACAGCAATAAATATAATCAGCAAAATTAAAAAATCAATTACACATTGCAGTAACAGTACAACGTTCAAATCAACAGTCCAGAAAGTTCTGCAAGGTTAGGCACTTAAGACTGGAGAGCACTTACAGCAATCGAAAGTGTTGTTCCAGCGGCGGTTTGACATCTTTAACGATCGTAAAGGCAAACGAATGTACGTTGCATGATGTTATACATGTATCTGCATCTTATAAGTCACTGGATCATCTGACAGCACATATACAGTCAACCACGTCAACTAATGAACAAATCACTATAAGGCTTCCTACGATTAATGATTATGTTACAAAATCTTCCAAAGCAGCAACCAGACAGTTCATTAAACCATATGCACATCAATATTTCAGAGACAAGATAAAAAAAATACGAACAATCTTGCAAAGACATGCAAATTTTTTGGGTGGTGTTTGGCCCGGAATATACTCTACGCAAATATGTTTATTTCCAAAACTTCTAGCAACAGGATACTACTCGATTTCACAGTTTTGAAATGTGGGAAGTACAGCTTGCATTGTCAATGTTGCACCTATTTACTCCCATTACTTCCTTGTTACTTCCGAATGAATAAAACAGTGATTGAATTACTGGTGCAAATATTAAAAGGAAACAATATTCCCCCTCGATTACTTAAGTTTGTACGCAAGCTTGTTTCCACCTCAGAATACAAAAATTATAAAACATAATTGTGACCGACTTTATTTCTCGTAATTGTAACTTTTTATCTTATCATTTTGACTATTTCTCATAATTGCGACTTTTTTATTTATTTTTTTAACTGCAACAATATCCGTAAATCTCACAATTGCAACTTAGTTTCTTAACTTTGAATTAATAGTGTAATTGTGCATTTTATCACACAGTTGTGACTATTTCTTGTAGTTGCAACAGGGTTATTATCATTAACTAAAACTAAAAAACTTTTTAAAACATTTTTGTTAATTGAAATAAAGCTAAAACAAAATAAATATTAGATGAAAAACGTAAACTAAAGAAAAATCAGAAATGTTGCCTTGGCAACTAACAGAAATAAGTTGAAGTTGAAGCCCTAAAATTACTAATTAGAAATAAATAAACAAAAATTGAAATAAATAATAAATTAAACCTAAATGGTAAGATTAATAAACACAAACATTTATAAAATGTGATTTTAATTTTAATTTTAATAAAAAAAAATTAATTTAAAACACATTTACAAATATAAAAATATTAATAAAAACTATAATAATACTGTATATAAATAAAAAACTAAAATAACACTGAGTTGCATCTATTTCTTATAACTACACCTTTCCTCACAACTGTGAGTAATTTTTTAACTTCCTGTATTTTCTTTTCATCGGAGACAGATACAGTCTTTTACAGGTTTGCTACTGCTACAGCAACGCAAGAACACAAGTCTACGTACCTGCGCAGAGTATGTTTCTGGCCTTCAGGCGGATGAAATACTGGTACGATTTCTATTCATAAAACTAAAACGAAACCCACAGAATAAACATTAAAACAACTCAAGGAGAGTAAAACCCTTGTTTCGCATAGTTTGAAGTTTAGTCCCTACCTACTATCAGGACTCACATGCTGTTGGGGTTGTAACAGAGCATGTTGAGCTGCAGGTTCTCGTCCCAGTGTCTGAGGATGATGAAGAGTTGATTGGCCGCGGCTTTGACCGCCGCCAGGTCTCGGCCCTCTGGGATGATCTGTTCATCTAGCCACATGCTGGCCTTGGCTGCGATCAGCTCCCACTCGATGAAATAACTGGCCGAACTGTGTTCCAGCCAGGCCAGAGCAACGGCAGTCGCCCACACCATCCCCTCAGGGTCTGGCACGGCCCTTTGTAGGATCCCAGGTGAACCCAGCCAGGGCGTCTCGACGATTTCTGACTCAGACCCCCGTCCACTGTCGTGCAAAGAGTTGATAGACGACGTCGGGGCTTCGGTCGACATCGACGAGAAGCCGCTCAACAGCGAGGGATCGCCCTCCATCCGAGGGCTTCGGGCCTGGTATGAGGATGAAGATGTGCGGGACACCAGTTCCTCACATTCGGAGTTCAAGTCTGAGTCTTTTGGAGGAGGCGATGAGCCGTGGTGGACCTCCAGACTCTCAGAGCGCCGGGAGCCAGAGTGGGACACATGGGTAAGGCTGATTCTGTGGCTGGTGAAGGGCGACGTCCATTTGAGCTTGTCCATGGGCACGTTGATGGCGTCACACAAGGCACTGTCCAACATGAACGCCCCACAGGACAGCTGCAATGACACCTGCAACAGGAAGTAGATACCATAATGTCTATTTAATCAGTGCTTAAACATAAAAACAAGCTCAGAGACAGAACTTCAATGAGCCATTTAAGGTCTTTAGGCATTGTCAATTACATTAGCCTTAAAAATACGCTCTACTGATTTTGTTACGCCTCATCACCGTTTACTTTGAGTAATTGCCATGATCCATATATTCTACTCAAATAGCACATCTAACAAATGTAGATTTTATATAAATTTTATACAGACACACACACACACACACACACACACACATACACACACATATATTGCATGTATTAAAAATGTCAATAGGGGCAATTTCAATTTCATGTTGACTCCAACTCTAAGTTCTGCTAAAACCACAGAGCATCAGCATCCTGAAAGCAGAATATGGCGACAGAAACCAGAGGGATGTAGTCCTTGTTGTCATTTTCGCTCTCTCCCACGGAGTTGCTGATTTTGCTCTGCGACCGGCTCATGAAGCCCCTGGCGGCTTTCGTCAGGAGACGAGTCCTGCTCAGGCTCAGCTTGCTAGAGGCAAAAAGAAACAACCCCTTTTACTCCGGTGCCCTTTAGGCATTGTCAATTACATTAGCCTTAAAAATACGCTCTACTGATTTTGTTACGCCTCATCACCGTTTACTTTGAGTAATTGCCATGACCCATATATTCTACTCATATAGCACATCTCATTTAACCAGACACAGCGATCATGAGATATTGATCAGTGCTTGTTAAATGTCAACAGATCTATTACTCACTATACGTAAAGACTACTGCTTCTGTGTGCAAGGTGAGTATTGACCGGCTATTTATAGGTTATGAGGCGAGTGGATGCAATACACTCAATGACATCATTATTACTAGTTGAGGTTTGTCAGGCATTTTATGCTGACCTTTTGAAGTCAACATGAATTGTTGAACCCATTTTACTCCCACAATGAGAAAAAAAACAAATGTATATATGTAAAAATGTATGTATATAATACATACATTTACACACACATAATGTATTTACACTATATATATATACAGTATATATATATATATATATAGTGTAAATATATTGTGTGTAAATGTGTGCGTGTATGTATATATACTGTATATATATATATATATATATATATATAAAGTGTTTTTTCTTGGTGAAATCTGCCCCTTCACATCCATTAATTTGTGTAGTGTGCACACATCCCTGATAGCGCTGCTCCTCACGTTTTGGTCATTAGTTCAGTTGACATTTTAAGTGACAGCGAGAGGTGAAACTGTGAAAGAGATTCCAGACATGAAAGGGAAGTGTTTATTTTGGTGTCTAGAGTTCCATCTATCTTTTGTTTTAAATTTTGGATTATTGTACTTAAGATATGGGAATTTGAAAGGGATTAGTATATGATCCAGGCTGGATTTGAACCAATTATTTATCAACGAATAATACATTGCATTAACCATTTATTTAGATCACATAAAACTATTTGTGCATATCCTAATTAATATTCATGAGCTAAGCCTACAGTATTTAGTGACATCACCACCAAAACCACGCCCCCCACAGCTTCACCCTGCAGTTAATTCACCCTCTTCCAATGTTTCTTAAAGCCAAACGCTAATTAAAACTGAAACTCAGTGGTTGTGACTACATCCTCTAATTTTCACACTTCTTCAGATTATCCTTTACTTCATAAATTCACTTAAACTCAAGACATTTAGGCATATTTTTTTAAATGAAAAAGCTAATAGCAAAACCTTTGACTTCAATAGAACAAACACTTGCGAAAAGATAATTGTCACACTGACTCGTTTAATTGTAATAAAGCATTATGTACTTCACATCAACAGCAAAATGATTATAAAATAAACTAAATACCTGCACGAAACTGTCCTATTTTCAGTCTACGTATTTTCTGTCTTTAATTTTTTTTTTAATGACTAATGAATGTCTGTCTTCTCTGAGAGTTGAACTCATTACATGCACCCAACAAAATGCAAATTCGACTCATGATTTAAAACAATGGCGCAGGAGCGATGCAAACTGCTGAATTATTCATTTGTGTTCTGTGAATTACAGTGTTTTTAATTGTGCAACTTGATTTGTAGGCTCTTTCCCCCATCTCGTTCCCTCTATCTACACCCACCTGGCGGAGAAAAGGCTCTCGACTGATCTCTGCGAGGGGTCGGAGGTCACCGACGCATTCCTTTGAGGGGCTGAAAGAGAGAGCAGGTTGGTTTCTGATCATTTCTATGGCCCAACACACACACACACACAAACAAATACACTGCTCTCCAAGGCAAAGAGCACTCAATAAACTCATCCGTGCTCCTCTAGGTCAAATCTAATGAATGAATTCACGAGCTTGAGTGATTAATGCTGCTGTTTTTGGCATGCTTGAATACCTGCAAGACTTGTAATAACTGAAGTAACCAAGTGAATGCAGACAGGAGGAGAAAAAGTACCTTCAGAAGAGCTACATCGTTCCCAGCTGGAGGATGAGGGTGATTTGCAGGAGGATTGAGATGCATTGTCTACGTCTGTAGAGCAAAGAAGAGTTTTAGGGTACAGACATAAGTCCTTTTGACATCAGTTTGGTATGAAAGCTGTTTTCAGAACTAGCATTAAGGAATCACATCCAAGTGCATTTGTAAATGGGTCTGAGATAGTTAGTTCATGTGGACTCCAGAAGAGTTTACAATAACATGCACTCTGTGTGTTTGTTTGGTCATAGCACCCCTGCTGGAGATTTTAGTAAAAGTAGTATTCTATATATTTAATCTATTTTAAAATGTAAATTATTCCCGTGACGCAAAGCTGAATTTTCAGCATCATTACTCCAGTCTTCAGTGTCACATGATCCTTCAGAAATCATTCTAATATGCTGATTTGCTGCTCAAGAAACATTTCTTATTACCAGTGTTGAAAACAGTTGTGCTGCTTCGAATTTTTGTGGAGACTGTGGTACATTTTTTACATTTACTTGATGAATAGGAAGTTCAAAAGAACAGCATTTATTTGAAATAGAAATCTTTTGTAACATTATAAATATCTTTACTCTCACTTTTGACCAATTTAATGGATCCTTACTGAAAAAAAGTATTAATTTCTCTCTCTAAAAAAAAAAAATCTTACTGACCCCAGACTTATGTATAGTGTATATTGTATATTTTGACCAACTTGTCCCCAAACTGATATGGTATTCTCAGAATACTCTGACAATACATATATTTTTGTGGGAGCTTTTGCTTCAGTTTTATGAGGCTACTGGGACTCTAGTGAAGATTTGACAGTTTGTCAGTGAGGACTGTACACAAACTCTGCAAATCTGTTGAAAATTTCCCAAAAGCATATACATATTTGACTGTAGGCCAAGTTATCCCAAAGTTATGATGTTTTAGAGCATTTTTGTGACATTTAACCAGTGGCACTGTCAATGAACTGCTTGGCTACCAATTGACATTGCCACCCAATGCATTCAATAGACCAAAGCATTGGAAAAATCTTTCATGCAATATAAAAATCTAATTCTCTTTCATGGGAACTTCGAACTGCGTCCTCTAGGGGTCGCTATGGGGAACGCCTCGTCGTGACCCGTGTCTGAAGCATACACTGAAAAAACACCAACTTGTTGGCCGGCGACAGCCATGACGTCACTACCGGTGCGACTATAGTATAAATAGGCGCCGGGAGCACACATCATTGAGACACTGCGTCCTCTAGGTTTCTTGCCATGCTGCGGACGCAAGCTTCAGACGAAGAAGTGAATGATGTGTGCTCCCGGCGCCTATTTATACTATAGTCGCACCGGTAGTGACGTCATGGCTGTCGCCAGCCAACAAGTTGGTGTTTTTTCAATGTATGCTTCAGACACGGGTCACGACGAGGCGTTCCCCATAGCGACCCCTAGAGGACGCAGTGTCTCGTTCCCTACTCAGGGAACCATGGTTACATAAGTAACCTGAGACGTTATTTATGATCCATCAATATTCCATCCCATAACTCCACACTTGTAAACAAGCCCAACTGTCACTATTTTGTTATCAATCTTACTGTAGCATAGTGCTGCATCTTCTTGCCCAGGCAAACCTCCTGATTGCGAACGCCCCAGACCTACAGAGTAACCTCGGTTCTTCCTGCTGCCGGAACGAGAACTGCAGTGCGAACTTCGTTTATGATCCTCCCCTGGAGATAAACAAATATACAAGGAGTCATTACCATTATCTAATTGTGTGCTTAAGCCAGGAGCAACTGCTTCGTCTGTTTCCCTGCGCTCCTCCCTGTTTTCTTCCTTCTGAGAACAGTGTCTTTGACGTAATTATTGCAACTTCCAGGCCTTGTGAGTTCAGATGAATTCGAAGAATGACCTACCAGGATGGCTGTACTCAATGAAGGTGGGTAAATATTCATTGCTGTCCAGATCTATAGGTACAAATGCTGTGTATTTGCTCAAGATGTTGCAGGCTTTGCTCGTGTGGATGGCGTAAAGCTGGTACCTTCTCCCAGAACCTACAAGAAATGATATAGTTGAGGGATTTGGTCAGATACTCAAGTAAGTTGGATGTCAATGTTAATATTTGGCAATTCGACTCCAGTTCCTTACCATGCTCAATCTCACACTCTTTGTCCGCCATGTGTTCAAAGTCTTGAATAATGGAGCTTCCCGCCAGGTGATGGAAGGTTTCGTTCCACAGGTCCTCGTGAACTTTCTCCTCCCGCTCTCGGCCTTTCAGGTAAGGCTGGATGTCAAAGGCCACCTCCCATCTCATGGGTTTCCCGCACAGCAGTCCTGATATGACCGCTTTGCAGTCTCCCTTTCCGTGACTGGCCTTGAATTCTGGCGCGTGAGGATCCTGGGGCGTTTCGACTTCGCAAAGCTGATGCGTGTAGCCATCTGTTCGAAAATACAGAGAAGGTAAACAAAATATTCAGAGTATTAACCGATGCATTTCCTGCTGAAAACATCAGAAACCAGTTGGCTAAGCTTATAACCAGCTTAAATGACAAGTTAAAACAGCTGCATGGATATTATCAAAATCGACTAGTTGTTGGATTGCCTAAATAGTTAGTTGATTAGAGGAACCCTGTATAATTAAGGTACATCAGATTCTGTTGAGATGCCATTTTTAAGATATGTTCATGCTTAAAAACAGCTGGATGAAGCACAAATGCCTTAAGGTTTTTTTTAGTGTTGAAATTGCTTTAGACTTGACACATTCTCTTAAAAATGCAACTCTCATGGTGCTGAAAAAGAGTGAGATGTCTGAATCTGAGAACATGTAGCTGTTTAATATGGTAACTGACAGGCAATTAGGTTAAATATCTTTTTATTGCACAAAACTATTAGCTGATAGTTGCCATAAAAACCGAGACCTACGGATTATGAATAATGACAGGAAAATTGCTCACAGCAGGCGATTTGAAGTCTGACATTCTTGAAATTTATTGCCGTATGCTGTGGATTGGTTAAATAAGCTGTGTTTTGATGGCGGTGCTTTAAAAGTTATGAATTGAGAGGCATTAATAGTTTATTAAACACCAGTATTAAATCAATAACAGATCTGCTAATCTGAAACTATCTATACATTTATTGGCAACTCTTATTATCTCACAGTACATTACAGTTCAAAAGTTTGGGGTCAGTATGATTTTTAATTAATTCATTTATTTTACTTGTATTCCTTTTTTTTATATATCTATTCAGTAAAGACACTGTCAAAAATGACAGTTAAGACATTTATAATGTCACAAAAAGATTTTCAAATAAATGCTGTTCTTTTGAACATTCTATTCATCAAAGAATCCTGAAAAAAATGCATCACAGTTTAGCACAACTGTTTTCAACATTGATAAATTATAATGCATCAGAAGTTCTTATACTCGAGGACTGTAGTGAAGGACAAACCTGCATCGCCGGTGCTGCCTAGAGAAGGGCTGTCAGTTGAAGACCTGGAACCGTCTTCCACTACTGGGCCGGGATGGGTCTGATCAATCTTAGACTCCCCCTGGAGACCCTCTGGTTGTTGCACTGGAGGTTTGTGAGCAGTTATGGGACGTCCTCTTGAGGACGTGGCACACAGGCTGGCCAACTGTGGCTGTTGGAGAAATGAGTAACAGTTCATTAGTCCTTTTGCTCACTGTACTTGAATTACCTAGTCCAAAATGGCACATTTGATGTAGACATTTATCTTCTAATGTTGAATATTTAATTGTTCTTGCCTATTTTAAGATTCAGATCATCATCTCGCAATAACTCAGGCACAGTTATAGATTATGGCAAATATTTAACCCTTTAAGAGCACTCAAATGTCTGTTGAAGAGTACTTTCCCTTTAAGAGAGCATGTAATCTCATTTATTGGGAAAAAAGTACAACAATATAAGACATAACACAAATAGAATATAGGTTTATAATATTAAACACATAACATAATTATAAATATAGGTATATTAAATATTATGCCTATATTTTGAATTATTTAATATGCCTGTATTTAAAATTATTATTTAAAAATAAAAAATTAAAATAATTTCATTATAATATTAAAATGCAAATATTATTTAAATGATAACATTTAAATGATATTTTAAAAATCAATCAATCAATAAATTAATAAAAATATTAAAATGTAAACTGAATTCAAATAATACTATAATATACACTACCGGTCAAAATTTTTGAATAATTACGATTTTTTTAATGTTTTTGAAAGAAGTGTCTTTTGCTCTGCAAGGTTTCATTCATTTGATGAAAAAAATACAGTAAAACAGTAATATTTTGAAATATTACTGCAATTTAAAAGAACTGTTTACTATTTTAATATATTTTAAAATTGTATTTATTCCTGTAGTGCAAAGCTGAATTTTCAGCACCCATTACTCCAGTCTTCAGTGTCGCATAATCCTTCAGAAATAAAACAAACAAACAAACTTTTTACTAGCAGTAAACATTTTGAAACATTACTGGAAAAAAATGTATTTAAAAATAATTACATTAAAAAAAGAAATATTCAATATATATTAAATATACAAAAATAAAATATTAAAATATACAAATTATTAATATTATAATATAGACTTGATTTTTTTGACAGGTTAACTCCGAAGTACAATATAAAGCACATTTTTAGGTAACCCGACAAATTCTTTTACCCATCAATGTATGGACATGGCATCAGAATAGTTATAAATTGCTCATTTCCTGAACTAAAGAAAACCAAAGCATCAGGATAGTTATAAAATTTCTCGTTTCCTGAACTAAAGAAAAATCATAGTGTCACAGTAATGGTGCTAATGCTAACAACTCTGAATGTGTTTCTGTGCCTGCACTTATCATGCAGGTTTCCCATTGTACTTAACAGCATGAAGGCAACATGTAGTGAAAGGAAATCTAATTTATTCCACCTCATGTAGAGGGAATTTATGAACCCAGTGATTCTTTGAGTCGCCAGAACCATGCCAGTTCCTACAGCCATGGCTCTCTGTTCACTTGGGTCTAATGGCAGTTTGGTTCATGAAAAATTGATGCCTGCTGAAGAGCTAATAAGGACCATTAAAGTCATTATTGCATGCATTGAGGGGAAATCAAGGACTCTTGTTATTGCCGTAGCTAATCTGTAATATTTCTCACTCCATTTTTGATCAAATTTCCACAGGCAATTGCTTGCAGTGCCGAGTGTCACCCAGACTATTGATATCTTCTCCCCTTTCAAAGAGCGTGACATTGGAAATTTTATCGTGGCCATCAAGGGTTTTGTCACAGTTGTCAGAACTAATTGTACCCTGGACGACAAATGCAAGTGTCTGGATGTTCAATCTGTCTCTTTGCAGGGTGTCAGCAATGTGGGAATATCACTGAACTCATTAAATTCGATAAACAATGTCATAAAATAGGAGAGATAAATACAGGACATGTCATTATTTTGTCAGCCAGCATGCTGAAGAAAGAGCAATTACTCAAAAATAAATCCTTTTTTTTTAAAATGAATTCATATTAATTATTTCATATTATTAAATAATATTTAAATAAATATTTGCAATAAATACTTTTTAACTCTAGTTGCACATGATGTTAATATTATTTAAATATTGTTTAAATGTTTATATTATTTAAATATGTTATGTGTAAATACATATTTAATTGTTTATATTATTTAAATTAAACTATGCTACTACCAACTTGGAAAAAGTACTGCTTTTTAATAAAAAATAAATATGTATATTATTTAAATTTGCCAATATTCAGACAATATTATAAAACTACTATACTAACATGGAAAAAAGTATTGCTTATTAAATAATATATTTTTTAATGTAATTGTTTATATTATTTAAATATGTTAATATTTGTATAATAGTATTTAAATAATAACAATAACAATAAACCCAGTTTGATTCATTTTACCACATAAAGCACATTTTTAGGTAACCTGACAAGGCAACCCAAAATATTGAGGAATGCGACAACTAACATGAAAACATCTTGCTAATTTAATCATATTTAAATTAAATAAATATTTAATTGTTTATAGTATTTAAATATGTTAACATTTAAATAATACTACTACTAACATAGAAAAAATATTATCAAATTATCAAATATTTAATTGTTTATATTATTTACAGTAAATATGTTGCATTTATATAATACTATTTAAATAATAAATATCAATATTATTGGCTTGAATAAACCCAATTTAACTCATGTTACATTTTACATTTTACAACTCAAGCACATTTTAGGTAACTTGACAAAAATATTACAGGGTGGGCACCAAAAATGTTGAGCAATGTAACTACAAAACAGAGAGCTAGAAAGGTACTGTAGTCTATTAGTATAGCCTCAATTCAATAAGCATATAAAGCATCCTTAAGTCTCCTCAGGAGGCCTGTTGTAAATGGGGAGGGTATTCCTCGGCCATTCAGCTCTACTGTCATGCAAGACATGAGTACGGCCATCATTATCAGTCACAAAGGATGCACACCTCTCCGTTGTGGTCTTGATTACATATCAATTTGTCTCTAGGTCAGGGATATTTTTGGCCTCATTATTTCGGCCCAGTTCAAACACTGGCACATCTGTTGTGACGTCCGCCACCCTTTTTTCTCCCACTGGACTCCAAAGGTGCATTTATATTTCAGTGCGTGGGTGCGAACCTGACAAAAATATTACAGGGTGGGCACCAAAAATGTTGAGCAATGTAACTACAAAACAGAGAGCTAGAAAGGTACTGTAGTCTATTAGTATAGCCTCAATTCAATAAGCATATAAAGCATCCTTAAGTCTCCTCAGGAGGCCTGTTGTAAATGGGGAGGGTATTCCTCGGCCATTCAGCTCTACTGTCATGCAAGACATGAGTACGGCCATCATTATCAGTCACAAAGGATGCACACCTCTCCGTTGTGGTCTTGATTACATATCAATTTGTCTCTAGGTCAGGGATATTTTTGGCCTCATTATTTCGGCCCAGTTCAAACACTGGCACATCTGTTGTGACGTCCGCCACCCTTTTTTCTCCCACTGGACTCCAAAGGTGCATTTATATTTCAGTGCGTGGGTGCACATCACAAAAGAGTCCACCTAAAAAACATATTTCCTTTATGCACATTCTTCCATCGCTTAATCGTCCAGGGAACTGTAATTCATCTTCCACTGGCTATGCAATCTAAACTCTGTTTATGTGGATGTGGCGGTAAGAAGATTGAATTACATTCTCATCAAAGAGCTCAGAAATGAGTTCAAATAACCCTTTGGAACAAACAGACGAATCCATGGATCTCTTCTCATATCATAGCAGATGCTTGGGCTATAGCAGATGGCACAGCGAAGGCTGCCTACAGATATTACTTATAAGGAAAACAACTACTTCCTAAATAGAAGCCGTCTGCTTTGTGTCAAAACACACAGGCACAAAGGGGATTACAGATACAAATGTTGTCTTATCATTTCCAAGTTATGATGTTTATTGCTTACTCAGGATATGTATTATAAGATATGATCATTCATAAAAAAGGCACATAATGTTTATGAATCTCCATTAGACCAGAAACAATTACCCAAAGAACACAAATGCAGACATTAATACTTCACTCTAAAAAATGCTGGGTTAAATACAACCCAGTGCTGGGTAAAATAGGGACAGACACAGCAATTGGGTTGTTTTGACCCAGCGGTTGGGTTAAATGTTTAACCCAACCTTCTGGGTAGTAACCCAACCGCTGGGTCAAAACAACCCAATTGCTGGGTTTGTCCCTATTTTACCCAGCACTGGGTTGAATTTAACCCAACATTTTTTAGAGTGTTGGCCAAAATGGTCTCCTCTCTCATATGTAACATAGGAATGTTTGATTCATTCTAGTCAATCGCTTTGTTTGGATGAGTAATTTCAAAGCAAAGTCTCATTCATTCTAGTGAATCGGTTCATTCTGAACAGTTGTGGTATTGGGAAATCTGATTCATTCTCCACTCTAAAAAATGCTGGGTTAAATATAACCCAGCGCTGGGTTATATTTAACCCAGCATTTTTTAGAGTGTAGTGAAGCGCTTCGTCCTAAATGATTCTCTCTCTTTCATATGTAGTGTTGGGAAAACTGATTCATTCTAGTAAATGCTCCACCCTAAACTGTTCTTTCTCTCATAGCTTTAGAAAGTCTGATCCATTCTAGTGAATCAGTTCATTCTGATTCTATGGTATTGGGAAATCTGATTCATTTTAGTGAATTGCTTGATCCTAAACTCTCATATGTAGCATAGGGAAAGCATTTGGTTTGTTTGGATGAGTCATTCATCCTAATTCGTCCTAAAAGGTTCTTGATATCTCATATGTAGTGCTGGGAAATCAGATTCATTTTAGTGAATTGGTTCATCCTGAACAGTTCTCTATCCTATATGTTGTATTTGGAAATCTGATTCATTCAAATGAATCGGTTCATCTTAAACAGTTCTCTCTCTTTCATACTGTATGTAGTGTTGGGAAATCTGATTCTTTCCAGTGAATCCGTTCATCCAAATGGTTTGTTTGGATGAGTCGTTTTAATGAACTGATTCACAAAAATGATTCACCAATGTTTTTGATTTATGTAAAGGTATTTTGGTTGTATAAATTTACCTGTTCAAGTTTGATACTGTCAACCTAATTGAGTGTTCATTAGTACAAAACCCCACATTGCAAAGATCTGCTCTGATTAAATTGGATAGTATATTTTAAGTAATCTATGTAGCTCCAGTGTACTTAGTTACTTTTTGTTTGTAGCTTGTAGTATACTGTAGTTTATCAACTTCAAATTATGTTAAAATTACAACGCAGTCTGAAGCTCAAAGTAGGCTTTTCCAATGGCTATAGACACATTTTCAAACATATTTTGCAAAGCAATAGCACACAAAGTCATGCGTAGTAAGAAGCTTCTGTATTCACATACAGTATTTGTGTAGCACATGTTTCGAGCCTTATGGTTTAGCATTTACCAACCTGGTAGTCCATTTTCCAGTGAGCTCCGTGGTCAGGATGTGTCTGTCCAATGAGCTCCTGGACTTTTGCTCTTCTAAGAGGGTTTTTGCCCACCACTGAGCTGGGGTCACTGGGGGTGTAGGCCTTCTTCATGGGGTTGTAATCTACAATCTGATTGGTGCTGTAAGCACGTCTTCTCGGAGAGGTGGCTGTGTCAGTTCCTGTGCAGAAAAATAATAATTTGTCTCATTTTTCTCTTTCATTTTCACTCAGTTTATCTTCATGTTTGTTGAATGTCTTCATAAAGAAACCTCTCTTTCATCAGGAGATGAAAATCATACATCATACAAAAATGAAAATTCTGTAACTCTCAAGTCTTATGGACTTTTTTATGGTACACATTTACGCTGTATAGAGCTGTACTTTACCCATAATGTCTTGCTCTGTGGAGATAGGACTGCTCTCAGACATGGTCTCCTGGCAACCGTCAAACAGCGAGCCGACTTGATTGTCCCTGTGCGGCCCCTGACCGTCAGAGGAAACCTTCCCAGCATCCTCCTCTTGAGAGTGATAGAACACTGAACTGGCCGACTCATTGGAACGCATCATGCTGTATCGTTTCCGTTTGTCCTGTTACAGCAGAGAAAAGACATCTGAGAGCTTGGGAGCTTCTTGTTTTGCCCTAAAATCTTTATTTGCATTAACAAAAATGATATACTAAAAAATATAATACTTAGTATACAAAAGTCTATATATTCACATATGTGATCTTATAATATATCAAAATGTAGTATTTTCAGATAATTATTCTAAATATCATCTAAATAAATAAAACCCTAACCCTGATCATGTAAATTCTACATTATACAAAAAATTCTACATTATACCAAAATACAGTATTTTTAAAATAATAATAATTATTATTATTATTATTGTTGTTGTTATTGTTATAAATAGTAGTATAAAAATATAGTATAATGATTACAGATTAAGTGTTATGTTTTTAGTATATATATATATATATACATATATATATATATATATATTACAACTACATATATATATATATACATATACATACATACAGTATATACATGTATGTGTGTGTATTTATACATAGTATAATTGCAGAACGATGGATATATTTAAGAATAGATGGATGGATGGATGGATGGATGGATGACTTACTGATTTGGGGTTGGAGTGATATCGGGAGGTATCACAGACCACGCTGTATCCAATCAGCCGGTCACCAGGGAACAGACAGCTCACCCCGACTGGAGAGAGCAGGATCTCCTTTGTCTCTGGATACAGCCACTCAATGGAGATGTCAGTCAGCACTGAGGTCATGGACTTCTTCAGCGACTTAATCATCTGCCAAAGAAACAAATAACAGCCAGGTCAAACACTACCTAGTGAACTCAATCAAGAGAGCACAGTCTATAGAAATAAAACAGTGAAAATATATAGATGCTAGTCTTAAACACCAGAGAGAGAAGGAAAAAACACTAAATGTGCTGTCTGCTTTGATCATTATCCTAATTCATGTTTGACTAAACAAAACGAATTGTAAATTGCTAATACATTTGGACACTCCACAATTTACGTGGCTGCTGTAATTGCTTTGCGGTGACATTCGAAATAGCAGGCTGTTGCACTGGAAGATAAACATGTCAGAGGAAATGAGGACCTTGGGTTGCAGTCGTTCTCCTTCTGACAGGAACTCAGCTGTGCCTCTGGAAACGGCAGCCAGTCCTAAAACCAGCCTCCTGCACGCACCCTGGCCTATACCGAATGTGTAACACCTGCCATGATGCAAACACACACAGAGAGACATGACAGGTGCGGTGAGTCTGTGAAAACATCAGAAGAGCATCACATTATGAAGAAACTGCATCTCTACTGGGTGACGCTCTGCCAGACAACATCAGTCTAATTCTCTGAACTTTATTGCTTTATTAATTCTGGGATTGGCAAGCGTGCTGTCAGAAAGACAGGAAGAAACTTATTCATATTGTTTATTTGAATCTTCTTCAGCAACTAACATAGATTGTGCAACTCTCTGTAACTTAGCGAGCAGTCTTGCTGTCTACCGCCTACAGGCAGCTGCCTTCTAAGAAGCATCCGTACTGAAACTGTCTGATTAAGAACGCTCTATATATAGGCTGCAACTGCATACGGCACACAAATGGCACTCCTCAACAGAGACTTACAGTACAACAATGCTGAAAACTGTTTAACAGGCCTAAACTGATTTACATGGTTTACGCTAAGAGACCAACCTGAAAAATGACCAAAACCCCACTAAAACCTGCAAACAGACCAACAAACCAACTTGGTTTTAGAGTATTGTTTCCAATACAGTTTCATGTTCCCAGGTGAAAAAGACGTAGTATTAAATGTATTAAAAATATACTTGAAATTCAAGTAGTATGTTTATAATACATTTGTATTCCCAACATGCTTATTTGAAGTGCAATAAAAATATATTGAATTGCATTTTAATATATTTCTAAAAAGTATACTAGAAATACTTTTGTATTAAATATATGCTAGTTATACTTCTAAGAAATATGCTAAACAGAAGCATACTTTTAATGTATTTATAAAAAAGTATACTAGAAATACTTTGGCAATAAATATATTTTTAGTTACACTTTTAAGGAATATGCTAAACACAAGCACACTATTAGTATATTTCTAAAAAGTATAGTAGAAATACTATGGTAATAAATATATTTTTAGTTACACTTTTAAGGGATATACTAAACACAAGCATACTTTTAGTGACTTTTTAGTGTATTTACAGAAAACATACTTATGTTACCCTTACTTAAAGTATATTTTATGTCTACTTTGTGTAAGAACATAACAAAATGATTACACTTTTAGTGGGTGTTTAATGTACTTTATATTGCAGTAGGCCTACACATGGTTATATTTTAAATATTTATGTATTTATAATTTTAATATTTGGAAAAGTACAATATTTTGAAAAACATTTTTAACATTTACAATGTACAAACGTTTGTCAACTATTATTAAGCATTGCGATATTTAAAATATGTTGTTTAATATGTTGTTCAGTTTTACTTAAAAGGTTATGCTACTTTGGTTGATTAGGCTGTTGTTCATTACATAAAACAATAATTGTAATAAGCTAGGTGTTTATAAATTTGTTCAAGCTTGACGCCTTTATTTTCTAATATATATTTCTGAAATTCCCACAAGGATTTCAACATCATATATGAAAAAAAAAAAAACTTGCGTTTACTTGTTTAAATTCAAACAACCCACTGACTAAACCTGATTGGTTCCAGAGCCATTGAACGGCTCTGATTGGTTCGTATGATAATGAGCTCACCCCAGAGAGCTTCGTATATAAAATATGATGTGCGTGCAAACGTCTCTTGAATGTGAATATAAGTCTAAATTTAAACAGTATTATATAGAGCGGTCACCGATCGTGTCTCTTTAGGGCACTTGGAGGAAACCACGCAATTCATATGGATTACTTTGCCGATGTTTTTTTGAGATTTCAACTTTTTGAAACATGAACATCTTTGGTGAATCTTCTTTCATCGGAGGGACATAAATCTCTCAGATTTTTATTAAAATATCTCAGCTTTTCTTTTGAAGATGAACGAAAGTCTTAGATGGTTTGGAGCATCTTAAGGGTGAGTGATGACAGAATTCAAATTGTTTTGGGGGAACTATGAAATTAATTAGAAAATATAGCGGTATGTTCTTATTTTTACCAGCTTCTGCAAGCGCGTATGGCGTCTGGCTTTTGGAACCTCACTGTGACTTCAGGTAAGATTTAATTAACGTTATTTGTCTGTGCCAGTCGTGTTTTTGACACATGCATTGGCAGAAAAAAATAAATAAAATAAAATTAGTCATTATAACATGTACAACATTAACATTCTTTTATTTGCAAAATGAAGTTGTGCATTTATTTATTTCTGATTTCCTGAACAATTTGGCTTCATTGTAATGAGGTTAATGATCTTTGAAAAACCATGATTATGAACATACAATTACTTTGTCTTGAGCTGATTAGCCAACTGTGGTAGTGTTCGTTGATTGGTGTTTATATTTGTTCAAGCTTGACAACCTTATCGCCTTTATTTTCTAATATATATTTCTCATTACAGATAAGAACAAAGATTAAATTGTAAGAAGGGTTGCTTATATGAGAGCATACAGTACATCTGAAACTGCTGAGGCTGGGAAGGCTTTTGACTATATTACCGACCAGGTACATTGTTCTCAGCGTACTGTCATTCTTAAAAAGAAAACAAATCATCAATCATCATTTGCTTTTGTGTGTGTGTGAAATATTAACATTTGTTGTTTTTCAGATCAGCTGCTATAGAAGACAAACTGAAATCTGAGTGCAGAGACAAGCAAAGGAATAGTAAGTATATTTTCATGTTGTATCACCTCTGTTATAGAGATTTTTGAATCAGGCCTAATGGAGGGTGATTTGGTCAATCTTGAAAGAAAAATGTTAGCAATGTGTCCATTCCAGCTGGCTAATTTGTGCTTGCTTTCAGTCATTCATGTAAAAATCTGTTATTTAATTTTGTTTCTGTTTTGTTTTTTTCTAAAGCTGCAAGGCTCTGGTGCAAAATATTGTATGCCAGGAGTCAGGACGACTAGGCTGTGCCCAGGTCTCCAGAACCTGCGACGACGCTCAGCTCCATCAGCCCTCCATCTGCGCCTTCTTAAAGTTGTTTCAAAATAATACATTTAATATGCACTTAGTATAGTATAATTTAAATATAGTAAGTATGTCTGAAAAAGCACAATTTAAATATATTTCTTTTTCACCTGGGTTAGCATGTTGCAAAGCTAACAACACAATATTCTAATGAGTATAAATTACATAAACTAATAAAAAACAAAAAATACTACATACAAGTATTGGGTACAACAGTCCATTTTTCATTAGATTGTATTATTTTTTAAATAAATCTATATTTCTATATTTTCCATAATAAACAAGATGTAAGTAAATATATACTCAAAGGGATAGTTCACCCAAAAATTATATTTCTGTCATTAATTACTCACCCTCCTTCATTCATCTTTGGAACACAAATGAAGATATTTTTGATGAAATCCAAAATCTTTCTGACCCTCCATAGACAGCAAGGGAACGTCTCGGTTACGTATGTAACCCTCGTTCCCTGAAGGAGGGAACGGAGACGTCACGTCGGATGACCGACGAATTGGGATCTCGCTTAGAGGGACCAATCTACTTCGAGTGTAAACTAAACGAGCGTAGTAAGGACATTGTTAAAATAGTCCATGTGACATCAGTGGTTCAACCGTAATGTTATGAGGCTACAAGAATACTTTATGTGCGCAAAGAAAACTAAAATAATGACTTTATTCAACAATTCTTCTCTTCCGTGTCAGTCTCTGCCACCATTAATTTGTGTTTCGAAGATGAACGAATTAGTCTTACAGGTTTGGAACGACATGAGGGTGAGTAATTAATGACAGAATTAAAATTTTTGGGTGAACTGTCCCTTTAATATACAGTACATCAATGAAACAAAATTACTACGTACCAGTACTGGGTACAACAGTCCCTTTATCATTACACTTTTTATTCCTAATAAATTTTTTCCCCCTATTTCTATTCATAATGAGCTATATATAAGTAAATATATAATAAATTTAAACAAATACTGAAATAAAATACTACATATTAGTTTTAGGTACTACATCTATTTTTCATTAGACTTTAAAAAAACTACATTTTATATAATATCTAATATAAAAATACATAAAAATAAATTACTACATATGAGTATTGGGTACAATATAGTCAATTTTCATTTCATTTTTTTAATACATTTATTTATGCATTTCTAAGTGTGTAAGTATATATATGATAAATATACATAAATACAAATAAAACCGTTAAATATAAATAAATACAAAATAAAACAATTTTCTTGATTCTTGACTGTGAATGATTTCAGTGACCTTGTCCCAATGCATTCTTAGATTTTCTTTACAATTTGGCCAAAAAAGTCTTAAACCAGAAAAAAAAAATGCTTTTAGCAATGCAAGCTTAATTTTTCATGTCATTGTATTCTGCGATGTGCACAACATCAGTAAAATGTCGCCACTGATGCTAATTTCAGGCATGAAGATATGCTGTCTTACTACAGTGCCTATGATGCATTAAAATGCTGTCTAGGTAGGCAGCTCACTAGCTGATATATTGAAGTTATATTTGAGATTTCTACAATCTCTAGATTTGAGCTAGTAAAACATACCAGCTCTAATACACAGTATCTGAAGACAAACAGTAGTAATTGACGATGAGACGATTGACACCTTCAGTGTAGGCAGCAACATCTGCGTGCGAGATATGAGAGAACAGGGAACACATCTGTCCATTTACTAAAGTGTGGATGGGCAATCAGATCAGCTTGCTGAGAAAGATTCTTCCCTAACGAGCAAAGAAAGCCGAGTCGTGTCCTCACAGCAGAGAAAAGGAGTGCAGCAAGACTCATTTGTGATTGTTCACGATCGTCTGTGGAGGGCAAGTGCTGTTTAAGGCAGTAAATTACACCACAGCTTCACTTCCCAGCCATCGCGTGTCTATTGTACTGCAGGAACGGCCGTTAAAACCCACAGGTTCTTCCATTCATTAGAAAGAAAGCTATTGTAGCATCTGTTCTAGGAGGACGGGGAAGAAAAGAAGTGCTTCTCTGAGGTGAACGTCTCGGCAGGTGATAAATTGACTGGAAGCCTCGCGGAAGCAGCAGAGTGCGGAAACAAAGCCTGTGATAACAGCCGCTTTATGGCTATTGTGGATCTAAAAGGATTAGACGGAGAGACAACAATTTACTGTTTCTAGCGGCTGTGCTGATCGGATTATGATCTGATTACCTGCATTCTGCAGCTCTGTATCCTTGAACCTCGGATATTAAAGGATTTGTTCACCCAAAAATTAAAGTTTTGAATTATGACTCATTTAATCAACAAATCGTTCCAAAACCTTATGGCTTTTATACGTGGAAAATAAAATAGGATATTTTTAAAACTGTTCAAGCTGCTCTTTTCCATATAAATGATAACATATTGTGATCAGGGGCTGGTAAGCACTAAACAGGCACCATATTAATCCATATATATTAATGTGTGATTTGAGCACTATATTCCAAGTTGTGATACTGCATGCTATTCAATATGATCTATTATTATCTGTTTAGCATATTCTGCAGAGCTGGTTCACACAAAACTGATTATTCTGTCATCATTCACTCACCCTTTATTGTCAATATTCAACTTACATAGTGCAAATTCTCCAGTTTCATGTATGTCCTTAAGTATATTTTGGGGAATAATTGTAAATCTATCAAAAAAACATTTAAATTGAGTCACAGTTCGGATCTGATCTGATTTAGGGTTCACAATCAGTGCTGTTATTATCTAAAACTACAACTAGTTTTTAGAAATTGAAATAAAGCTGAATAAATAAATATTAGATGCAAAACTTAAACTTATACTATACAAAACTTAAAACTTATTCTGAAATAAAATAAGTTTGTTAAAGTACAACAATGACCAAAACTGAAATAAATAAAGCTAAACAGAATTTTTTTTAAAAACATAAAAACGACAAAAGCACATAAAGTTACTAAACCTTCAAATAAAATAAAAATAAAAATAAATCTAATTCTAGATATAAATAATTACTATAATTGCACATAAATAAACAAACAAAAAAAAATAGGATTCCAATCTTTCCAATTCCAAATGTCCTAAAATGTACCAAATGTTTAGATTAATACATTAGCACAACCTTTTAATTAAACAGTATAATCATGTTTGATAAACACAAACACAGATTAAAATGCAACAGCACATTATACAGTAGAGCATGGCGCTAGCAACACCGAGGTCATGGGTTCGATTCCCAGGGAATGCATGAACTGATCAAATGTACACTTTAAATGCAATGTAACTTGCTTTGGATAAAAGCATCTGCCAAATGCATGAATGTGAATGTACAAACACTGACCTGGTGAACCTAGCGTGGCTGCGGAGCAACTCAATAACTTTCCCCGTGTTACTGACGGCTCCGTCGGTCAGGAGGAAGAGCAGGCGAGGATGACCTCTCTGCATGGGCTGACGTAGGATCCAGTTGAGAGGAGCCAGTATGTTTGTGCCACCCATGTCAGCGCGGATCTTCTTCACATGCTCACAAGCCAACGCCAAGCTCTCCTGTGAAATACATGAGGTTTGTTAACAATTTTGCAAAAAAGGATAATCAGTATTTTTATCTTGTTTTGAGTTTTGCCAGATCTACCATATCTAAATATATTTAAAACAAGATATATTTACTTGAGAAACAAAAATGTTTAAGATAAGACAATACTTTATTATATATATATATATATATATATATAATTCTTTATAGTCCACTGTCAAACCTTTTCAAAAACCTTCAAAAATCTAGTGAAAAAAAAATTTCACTAGATTTATGCTTAAAAGAAAAAAAAAACTATTTGCTACAGAGATAAAGAAAAAAAAAACCTGCACTGTCTTTTCTAGTGCAAATATCTAAACATTCTTAAATCAAGATACATTTACTTCAGAATCAAAATAACAAAATTAAGTGACTTTATGCTTGAAACAAGAAAAAACATCTTCCAATAGACTAAGAAAAATAAACATGCTGCTTATTAATTTTATTTTTCTTATCCCACTGGCAGATTGTTTTTTTTTTTTATTGTTTTAAGCATAAAGTCACTTCATTTTGCTACATTTTTCAGAAAACAAGACTTAATAATTTTAAGTAAATTGTCTACAAGTAAATATATCTTGATTTATGAATATTTAGATATTTGTACTGGAAAACAACACAGAATAATTTTTTGCAGTGCACTGATTAAGCAGTGTTTTTATAAATGATGTACCCAGTACGAAACTTTACTGGAAGTTCATTCTATAAACCCAGACCTTTTCCACTGGAAAACACAAGCACTGATCCTCTGGATAGTAACTGCTGATCTAATGAGGGCAGTGAGTGTGGACGCTGACTGCGGGTGACTAACCTCGTTGTAGCTCTGGCTGGTGACAAATAGCGTTTTGAACTTAGATCCGAAGCCCACTATGTTGAATAAGCATGCTGGGAAAAGACTTTTCAGAATCACGACCATTGCGTCCTGTGAACGCACAAAAAAGGAAGAGGTCAACGTGAATGATTCTGCATTACTTATTTAAAAAATATGTATATTATATAAATATAAATATTTATCAATATATTACTATTTAAAAACATATACATTTAAATACAGCTGTATTTCTCATTACTCATCCACAAAAATATTAAGCAGCAAAAAAGGTTTTCAGCATTGATGAGAACCAGTAACAACTGATAATAATTATTAAATATTTTAATCATTATAAAAATCTTATCTTATAAAAATATATATTTTACACGTAACGTAAATAAAAAATTATTTAATAAACATTTTATTTTTATTTTTAAATATTTTGTATAAGTGATTTGTAATGTACTTTGTTCATGTGTTTATATTTAGGTGCTTATATACACACTGAGTTTACATCATTCATTGCATTTGACACACATTTGGCATTAACAGAGATTACAGTCATTTGCCATTTAACATTGCTTCTTATGTAAAGCAACTCTCATTAACCTAATTACAGGGTTAAGTGCCGTAACCATTATAGACACTGAGGGTGACCTGGTTCCCCAAATGTTTGGATGAGTGGTCGATCGCTAATGGCATTTCAACTGTGTCACCCTTGCTTGGATTGAACCAACAATCTTTGGTAGCAGACCTGGAGCCATTAGACAACAGTGTAGCAGCGCTCACTGAACACCACAATTATACTGGTCAGACATCCATTCTGTCTCATCTAAAGTAGAGATATCATTTATAATGCTGCTTCTCGACAGATTCACAGCAGGTACAGCGGCGAGTAATTAGCATGAGGTTATAATTAAGTTTGTAAATATGAATGAGATATGAAGAAGAGTTCTAGCATTTTCACAGTTTTCACAATGATATGGTCTGAATTAATTAAGAAACTAATCACCAGTTTTGTCTTAATAAAAAAACAAGTCTATCTTCACCAAACACTTCCACACAAATTCAAACAGAACTTGACACACAATGAGAAAAGATACTTAGTAATTAAAGGGATAGTTCAACCAAAAATTATTATTAAAAAAACGTTTTTGGTTTGTTTTTCTGTGGAAGCAAATCTGGAAAAAAAAATAGATAAATAAATATATTTTCCCCATGCAATTACAAAGAATAGTGGCTTTCAAGCTTCTCAAATGCTCAAAACAACCATAAAGTATAATAATTTACTGAAAAAGAGTTATGTCTTTTGAGTCAGATACAAAATGTATCTGAATGATTCATTCACGGATTGCACTGATTCAGTTCTTGAGGTCAACTCACTAAATAATGATTTAAAGGTACAGTTCACACAAAAATGAAAATTTAATGAAATTTTACTCACTCACTGGAGGAAGCGTTATTATAGATTATGGATTCGTATTTTGTCCAGAAGTGACAGTTTAAAGTTAAAATTCCTTAACGATGGATTTGTTTCTTACAAACATGCAGCTTTTCACTTCACAAGATGTTAACTGATGGACTGGAGTCATGTGGATTACTTGTGGATTATTGTGATGTTTTTATCAGCTGTTTGGACTCTCATTCTGACGGCACCCATTCACTGCAGAGGATCCATTGGTGAACATGTAATGCTAAATTTCTCCAAATCTGTTCAGATGAAGAAACAAACTCATCTACGTCTTGGATGGGCTAAAGGCGAGTACATTTTCAGCATATTTTCTTTTTTGGTAAATGCATAGATTATAAATGTCTGTACTGTCACTTTTGATCAATTTAATGCATCCTTTCTATATGAAAGTATTAATGTCTTCCTAAAAATTTTAACTGATCCCAGACTTTTTGATCGGTAGTGTATTTACTCTAAAACAGTTAGATACAACATGTTTATGCAAAGGTTAAAAATTAAGGCATGTTTCTCACACTTTTTATTTATCTTTATAAGCCACCCAAAAGCCATATGGGGCCTTAAGTGAACATTTTAGAATGACGATACAAACAAATCACTGAAGTTTTCACCCTGTTCAGTGAAACATATTCAACTGATTTTGCTACTCGGAGAAGTTTAATTCAGTGACTCTATTAAAACATCTCTGTCTTAACGCACGCATTGTGAGAACAAGAAAGTTGCAAGTCACAAAACAATAAAGTGTTCTGAAACATGATGGTTTAAAAACATAATGGACGAAAAAGTGCATTAAAATTACTTAAAATTCACAATCTTGTTCAATTTAAGATCTTCGGCAAAATCATTATGAATACTTTGTGAATATTAAATATATTGCCCATCCAGCCCCGCCTATTGTTTAGATCTGTTTTGGAGTGTTTTCTCTTGTAAGCGGTGCTTGATCTGTGCATCTTTCTCTCCTGATTCAGATGAGACCACTTTTTTTCACTGAATCAATATTGTGGATAGAGGACTCATATTTTAGCCAGTGGTAACAGTTTAAAGTTAAAAAACGTCTTAATTTGTTTCTGACAAACACGCAGCTTTTCACTTCACAAGACATTAACTGATGGACTAGAGTTGTGTGGATTACTTGTGGATTATTGTGATGTTTTTATCAGCTGTTTGGACTCTCATTCTGACGGCACCCATTCACTGCAGAGAAGTGATGTAATGCTACATTTCTCCAAATCTTTTCTGATGAGGAAACAAACTCATCTACGTCTTGGATGACCTGAGGGTGACTACATTTTAAGTGATTTTTTGGGTGAACTCTCCAACTCCCATAAACTGCATAAAAGCATCCAATCAGACTGAAACTGCTGAACACACGTGGGCGATCCGTCTCATCGTTAAATAAGCACTGCTGTGTGTATATAAAAACCCATTTCCATTAATGGTTATTAACACGACTGAAGCACTTTGTGGTTTTAAACTGCAGAATAAATTAGGATGTCATCAAAAGTTAATGAGCATTGGGAGTGAGGGGCAGATTTAGTTTAACACAGAAACACAAGCATCCTACCTTAACTCGATTGATGTTGACCCCACTCATGCTTCCACTGCGGTCAATGAGGAAGATGAATTCCCCCTGGATGCTCCGCAGGTCAGAGGTCGTTGAACTGAGGTTTGGGCAGAAGTTCAGCATGACCACGGGGTTGTGGAGGATGTCTTTATGGAGCCTCTTCCGAATGATGTCCACCTACACACCACACATCAGCCAGTGAAAGAGCCATTATTGAAGGCGATAATAAAAAAGCTGGTGAATCTCACAAAAACATGTCACATTAAAACAACAAAATCAAAATTACAAAAAAAACATAATAAGAAGTTACATTTTTTCATAAACAAAATAAAGCCATTTTTAGGAACTTTAAGAGATTGGTTGCATATTATTTCTGCATCATTCTCATACAATTGAGCACATTTTATACATTTTTTATTTAAAACAACAAAGTACAGCAAATCAAATACATTTTAGAACTGAAATATATCATATAACTTTTTTATAATAGTATACCTTATAGATAGCAATACATATGATGGCAATTTAATGAAAAAATGTGCATAATTGTCATAAAAATGTCAAATAGTAATTTTTGGCATATTTTACATATTATTATTATATACTCACAATAAAATATGTTCGGTATATATAGAAATAATATGCAAAATATATATATATATATGTGTATATATACTATACATATAAATATATATACTATATATGTATAGTATTTCATTTAGTTTATGTGTGTTTATGTTTGTGTGTGTGTGTGTGTGTGTGTGTGTGTGTGTAAATTTCTGTTTTTTTATATAATATGCATAAATGACTGTGTGTGTGTGTGTGTGTGTGTGTGTGTGTATATATATGCAAACTCTTCAATGAAAGGTTAAGATTTCATCGTAAGGTTGGAAGTGTGTGTGAAATGTTTCGAATCCTGTGCACTTGACAGAGTTCAAGCTCATCGGAGGGATGCCAATTAGCCTATTGTGAACTGCTCTGAAGAAAGAATCTTAAATTAGTGATGTATTTCAACCACTTTACGTCACGGTTCAATTAGTTAGTTCATTGTACATTAAATTACTTCTCAGAAATCTGCTGTTTCCCTGGCTCGCTTTGCTGGAAATAGCTTTCTTCTACATACACACAAGTCTTCTATAAAATGTCTTGTATAAAACTGAGCACAAATATTGCCCTTTCTATTCTATTTTCCAAATTCAGATTCAGATAGTATTACTGTCAGCTACCTGATTATTGTATGGGGGAAAAAATTTACCAGAACATTCATCAAAATTTCTCCTTTTGTGTTCAAAAGGAGAAAGTAAGTCATATGGGAATAACATGTGGGTGAATAAATGATCATTTTCATTTCTGTTATTCAGTATCATTCCGCTCAAGTCAGCAAATGATTGATAGCGCTAGATATTCATAAGCATGTGAAACTATGAGCCAAGATCATAATTTTGAAAATCTTTTATGGTTCACGGATTCCCCTCTCGTGCTCTAAAGATTTAATTAAAGGAGCACACATCCCAAAGGAGGTGAAGTTAACTCTTATTTCGCTGCACGGTAGGTAGAAACACTATGGACTCAGCCGAAGACCTTTGACGGTTTCCATAGAAACGTCTATTCGCTGCAGATGATTTTAGGGCTGAATGTTCTCTCCCTCCTGTTGAGGAAAAGCACTCACTTAAGGATGCAACTGAAGCTTTGCGCTGCTAAGAAACATGGATCTGTGCTGACATTCCCACTTAATGTAACTACCTCCTGAAGCGACAATTAGCAAGAACTGTCAAGTGATTTTGCATTAAATAGGTAACCTAACTAAATTTGATTTCACACTTGATTTTCAGTATGAGTGTCATTAGGCTTGATCTAACAGCTTGGTGTTAAAAACCCTGAATATTTTAGAGAGTGACTGGAGTCTCAGACAAAGGGGTGCATGGAAAAGTTCAGAAAGAATATATAAACTACCATTTAAAACTTTGCGGTCAGTAAAATTTATTTTTTTTAAAAAACTTTTATTTAGCAAGAATGCATTAAAGTTATCAATACTGACCGTAAAGACATTCATAATATTACAATAGATTTTTATTTTAAGTAAATGCTGTTCTTTTGAACTTTCTATAAACAAAATAAAATGACTACTGAAAATTCAGCTTTGCATCACAGGAATTGATTAAATTGTAATAATATTTCACAATATTACTGTTTTTTTTACTGTATTTATGATCAAACGAATGAGCATAAAATACTTCTTACCAACCCCAAACTTTTGAATGGTGCAAATATATATATAAAAAAAATAAAATAAATTAAAAGTTACTGAATATATATTCATTAAATAAATATATAAACAATATGTTATTAATAATTACATTTATCGATATTAATATTGTTCAAATAAGTCACAATTTACTGAATTTGACTGGATGGAAATAATTAAATCACAGTTTTATCTTTTTTTTTTCTAGGTTTATACATCTAAAAGAACTTCCTTGTTCATAACACTTTTTAGTACTTCTTGTCAGTGAACAAAATCATTCCATGAAAAAATCTTAATCTGTTATATTACATGCTGGTTTGCTTCTGAACTTCTCAGTCACAAAAACACATCTTGAGAACATTATTTCAAACAATCACCACTTCCTGTGCAGTTTATGATCCTGGCTGCAAAATAATAATTTTTGCTAGACTTTACCAATTATGTGTAGTTTGAAAAAGTAGCACAAAAGCGTCATAGTGTTGTACTACTTGTTTTGATATTTTTTGTCCTTGTACGGCCTACTCCATCTGTATTTATTATGTCTGTTTTCTGTATTCCCTCATTCACCCTCACTCACTGTCTTTTCATTACTGCAGTCCTTCTTCGTGGCCTTTATATAGTCGCTACGGCCTTTCAGATGCTCATCGTATTCCTCCGGCGTCATGTCTCCGTCTTCGATGAGAACGTGTGGCAGATGGGGCTCTACACAAAGAAAAGAAGAATTACTATCTCAGTCTGTACAGTATTAAAACCTCTCCGTGTGGAGGCACAACAGTGAATTATGACAGCAGACAATGAGATGCATTACTGCCAGACATGAAGGACTCCCACAGTGGCGGTATTTCTTAAAAACAGCAGCTGTATTAGACACAGAGTGCGTTGGCACCATCAATACGGCTGAACGTTTGCCCCTTTGACTCGGCTCCCCTATCAATTCAATTGCACAATACTGGCCTTGGGTCACTTGCAGAGTAAGGCAATCTTATGCGGCAGCTTATGAGGCATTGAGGGATTCATTTATGCCTCTCTGACGCCGGTGGAGGTCGAGGTGCATGATGGGGTGGCTGAAGAAATATAGAGCTCAACTAAACAGTGCTTATAGAGCGAGAAATTATGTTATATGGCTGTGGACCTGGGAATGATGTTTTAATAGCCTATGATTTAATAAAGTGCCTCTTGTTTGGACAAGCTTTCAGGCACATGGAGAGATTAGCACTGACTTGTTCTGAAAGGCCGACTCTATTGTCCAGTTAGCACAGGTCAGATTGGCTGTGATCTTGTTTGTCTGTCCATGTGGGGACCAAATGGCCTGACAAAAAACAGCATTGTTGGGAAGATCCACAAAGAAAACGACGTTTCACAATCTTTTTCGAGGCAGCATAAATGCAAGCCAATAACTGGTGTTCACTATATTTTCAACAACATTATCCTAAACAAATTAAACATACATATTTAATTGTATTTATTTATTTTTGCATATTTACTGCATGTCATATGAACAACCAGTCAGTAACTACTCTGATTTAATTCTCAAAGTTAGCTGTAAACTTTTTGTTTTACTTACACTTTTGATTCATTAAAAGAACCAGCTCATAAGAGTCATTCATTCAGGAACCACACTACACTGGTTGCGCTGTCTGTTTTTGATTCACTAAAAACAACCAACTCAGATTCTATTGTTTACGAATGAGACTACTGTAGTTGCACTGTACTGTGTTCACTATGATTCACTAAAAGAACTGGATCATAAGAGACATTTGTTTGGGAACCAGACTACACTGGTTATGCTGCGTGTTTTTGATTCACAAAAAAAAAAATACCATACAAGAGTCATTCATTTGGGAGACGGATCACACTGGTTGCTCTGAAATTTTTTGGATTCAATACAAAGAATCAATCATTTGTTCAGGAATTGGACTACACTGGTTACGCTGTATGTTTCTGATTCACTAAAAGTACCAGCTCACAAGAATCATTCTTTTGGGAGTCGGACTACACTGGTTGTGCTTTATGTTATTGATTCACTGAAAAAGAACGGGGTCATAAGAGTCATTTGATCAGGAAATGGACTACACTATTTTGGATGTATGTTTGTGATTCACTTAAAAAGGTTTATAAGAGTCATTCCTTCAGGAATCTGACTACACAGTCTGCGCTGAAAATGTTTGATTCACTAAATCATTTTATAAGAGTCATGCGTTCGGAAGTCGGACCTCATTGGTTGTGCTGTACATTTTTGATTGACTAAAAAGAACCAGTTTATAAGAATCATTCGTTGAGGAGTCAGACTACACGGGTCATGCTGTATGTTTTTGATTCACTAAAAAAGAACCAATTCAGAGCCAATTGTTCAAGAATCAGACTACACTGTTTACGCTGTATGTTTTTGATTCACTAAAAGGAACCGGCTCGTCATTGTTTCGTGCTGCATTTTCAGATCATGATAAACAGTATAATTATTGTATTTATGTTTGCTACACACCACTAGGGTAGATCAGTATCTCCACAGGGCAGTCGTAGGTGTACTTGTCTGCCAGCGTGACCACAATGCTGGTGGCAGAGTGAGCCGAGGGGTCAGCGTCTGCACGGATGGCATGTGAGGGGCTTTCCACACCTGCACAAAGAAACTTCTAAAGCATCTAAAATAAGCAGGAGCAACAGACATTAGACCACATTTGAGGACTAAAACCTTCTGCAACTCCAGCAAGAATATGAACACTGCAAAACAACTAGTGTCCAATAATACAACTAAGCTATCAACGCATCAAACATCATTTGGGTACGCCTCCCAACTGAAATAACCAGCATATGCTGCATTTTACAATTTTTGCATTTGGCAGGCACTTTTATCCAATGCAACCTGCAGTGTATTTAAGATATACATGTTATCAGTATGAAAAGTCAGCACCTCAAACTATTAACATATCAAACATCATGTAAGCTATAGAAGGTTATCTGAATATATTTGACATTTATGCATTTGCTAGACATTTTAATCCAAATAAATCATTACATTTTACATGCATTTATATTTATTTGCGTGTAAATAAATCATAAATCCCATGATCAGGGTTATAATATTAAATTCTAAAATACTACGTTCTCATGCAAGAGGATGGAGGAACTGACCTGCCAGTAAATACGGTCCTCTGATCTCAAGATGGAAATTAAACTCATAGTCAATGGAGTTGATGGTCTCTTCCTCCAACATAGCAGCCAAACACACACCTGAGGCCGTCTGCTCATGGGCTCCCACTGAACAATGATGCTGATCCCTCCTGAGACAAATCAGCAGGTAGAGAGTCAAACTTCATTTTTACCAGTATGATATGAAGTCAGTGGGGTCTGATGTTGTTTAATTTCCAATTTCCATGTTTAAAAAATTTAGTAAATTTAGTTTAGTAAAAATTCTGTATGCAAATGAATGCAAGAAGGAAGACCAGTCGCAATTCAGTATGCAAATATCAGAACGATGTCAGAGATTTGTTATATGAACAACCAATCAGTATGTTTTTGATTCACGAAAGGAGCCAGCTCATAAGAGTCATTCATTTGGGAATCAGACTACACTGTTTGTCCTGTATTTTTTGACCCACTAAAAAAAACTGACTCATAAGAGCCATTTATTCAGGAATTGGACCACACTGGTTGTCCTGTCATTTTTTGATTCACTAAAAAGAACTAAGTTCATAAGAGTCCTTCGTTCGGGAAATGCAATTAAGTATGCAAATATTACACTGATATCAAATATGTCATTGTAGGTCAATGGGAGAGTTTCAAACTTTAATCTTAAATTTCCGCCATTTATTCAGGAATTGGACCACACTGGTTGTCCTGTCATTTTTTGATTCACTAAAAAGAAGTAGTTCATAAGAGTCCTTCGTTCGGGAAATGCAATTAAGTATGCAAATATTACACTGATATCAAATATATCATTGTAGGTCAATGGGAGAGTTTCAAACTTTAATCTTAAATTTCCTAAAAAGTATAACATTTACAAAACATGAAATAGGCAGAGCAGATAAAGCTGAAACTATCTACAAAACACAATATAGACTTTAAATTGGAGACTGTATGTTACAAAGTTCAGGCTGAATGTTTTGGATTTGGAGTTTTAGAACAGACACCAGAATGTTAGAGGATTATAAATACAGTGTTTCCGTGTAAATACTATAATAACACTAATGAATCACACACCTCCTAGCAGTGCTGGGCGAAAATGCCTGCTTCTCTTTGACAGAACGCTGGACTCTTGGAGAGCAGACGGGTGGTGAGGTCACCCGAATTCCCCCTTTAGGGAGTGTGCGGAGCTCAGAGGAGGTGCTGACCAGTATATTAATGGTCTCCAGAGGGGGAATGACCCCCAGACTGACCACCAGCACTGTCCTCTCCTGATCCTCATCCAAAACGATATGTCCTGCAGCAAGAGAATTCATCAGTAAAGCCTCTGAAAGTCAACTTTAACAAAAAGAAAAAACTTAATAAGATGTGTTAAAGGAATAGTTCACCCCAAAAATTTGAATTTGTGTAACATTTACTCACCCTCAGGCCATCCAAGATGTAGATGAGTTTGTTTCTTCATCTGAACAGATTTGGAGAAATTTAGCATTACATCACTTGCTCACCAATGCAGTGAATGGGTGCCGTCAGAATCAGCTGATGAAAACATCACAATAATCCACAAGTAATCCACACATGTCCAGTCCATCAGTTAGCATCTTGTGAAGCAAAAAGATGTGTTTGTAAGAAACAAATCCACAATTAAGGCATTTTCATTTTAAAACTGTCGATAATTCATAATTGCGCTTCTTCCAGCGGAAAAAGTCCATCCTCTGTTTTTCTCTCACATCAAAATCTACTGACATATTTGTTTAGAACTGTTTTGGACTGTTTTCACTTGTAAAGGTTGCTTGATTTATATTTATGCATATTTCTGTTCTGATTCAGACGGGTAGAGGACTCGTATTTTAGCAGAAGCAATGATTTGAAATTGTCTTAACGATGGATTTGTTTCTTACAAACATGCAGCTTTTCACTTCACAAGATGTTAACTGATGGACTGGAGTGGTGTGGATTATTGTGATGTATTTATCATCTGTTTGGACTCTAATTCTGACGGCACCCATTCACTGCAGAGCATCCATTGGTGAGCAAACGATGTAATGCTACGTTTCTCCAAATCTGTTCTGATGAAGAAACAAACTCTTGGATGGCCTGAGGGTGAGTAAATTTTCAGCAAATTTTTGGGTGAACTAATTTTTTAACTGGATTCAACAGACACCATGACAGGCCTTACGTTTAAGCTCTGAATCAGGGATTAGTTACGTAAGATCTTTGATGAGCATTATAAATGAGCATAAAATCTTACCACCTCCGTTCTGCGGGGTTCCATTGGCATTGCAGCAATCAAAGAAACAGTCATCGATTTTCGTTTTATCTTTGACCTGCACGGTTATTATCTGACTGCCAATCATCGCTTCGAACCCAACCACCACGCTGCCCTCATCCAGAGGGTATATAAAGATTCCTGCATGAATCACAGGATTACAGGCAAACACAATAGCGATAGGCGATCTTTCCACAAAGCTAATTTTGCACTTGACAGAAATTAAATCCTTCGTTTTAGTGCTTTCAGGATTGACCAATGCAAAATCCAATCTGTTGGAGTCAATACGACACTGGAGACCGCAGAGCAGCAATCTGCCGGTGACATTTAGACTCCACACAAATAGCTGAGTTTGGCAAAGGAAAGTGTTTCTCTTTCCTTCATGGCATTTTGAAGTATTATTGTGATTATAAAGAGTTTGATGCATTTCATCCCAAATTGCTTTTGAGGATAAGAACCACAATTGTGTTTTTTGTCAAAAGTTGAAGAGGATAAGTGCTTTTGGACAAAATCAATATTTTATGACAAATCTGCAAAAAAATATGTACTGGGCCTGATGATGTATAGCATATTTTAAGAATAAATGTAATTGGTGGATTCAATGACACAGTGGCAAGGGTTAATGCTGAAGTTTAGATTCAATCAATACTACACCCCAAAAAATATTTTGATCTAAATTTAAGATTTATGTATTTGAACTGCAAAATGTCCATCCACTTTAACATAAACTCATAAACTTCATGTAATGCATATTTGACAGTCGTGGCATAGTTTATTAACTATTTGCATCTATTAATCTGTTCATTGTGAAAACAAATTATTCAGTTTAAAGGTATGAACATACAGTTTCAAAATACTGTATAGCTAGCTGTAGAGCAAGCAATATCCAACTAGTTAAAATGTATAAGACTGAAACAAATTTTATTTAATAATGCTAAATATACAGTATAAATCTGGTTATTGTGTATGACTGACAAATATGCATCACATAATGTTTAACAGTTAGTTTATTGGAAAACTGTGTAACCCAGATGGATGGAAATTACATAAATCTTAATTTTAGGCCTAAATCTTTTTTTTTTTTTTTATGTATAATAGTGATGACTTAGGAAGAGCCATTAACGATTGATATCATTTCAGAACTATCAGAAGTAATGCGCCTATTAGACAGCATACTCACCCTCAATAGGGTGATCTTCGATGTTTTCATAGGTCAAGGAGGCTGTCATTGCCAGGGTGTAACCCCTGACACAGGAAGTGATGTCTGAGATGCTGAGAGGCAGAGCACTCCATTTGCTCTTGTTGATCAGGCCCGGCATGATGGTGGTTCTGTCCAGTGCAGCTTCTCACAAGCAGAGAAGGGAGTGAGAGGGGATGTTTCCCTAAAAACCCTAGATAACATTGATACCGTGTTTTACAATATATCTCGCAGAATGCCAATAAATAAATAAATAAATAAATACCTACCTCTTAGGGGCCAGTCTATATTTATTTATAGTTTTGGACACACATTTATTTTTGTGAACAGTGTATAAATGTCCAGATAAAATATCTAAATGAATTATTATTAATTTTTCATTGTGTTTTCTTGTTTTAAGCAATAAAACAAGACATATCTTGCAGAATGTAAACAAATAAATAAATAAACATAATAAACTCATACAGTATATTTATTAACCATGTTTGTTTATTTATTTATTGGCATTCATTTATTGTAAACAATGTCCAGATTGTCCATAAAATTACATTAACATCCTTATAACAAGATGCATTTACTTTAAAAAAAAAATGCATAAAAGACCTATTATTATTATTATTATTATTTTATACTGATTTTCTTGTTTAAGCATGAATCTAACAGAATTTTGTGGTGTTAGTTTAAAAATAAACTTTCCAAATATATTCTCTGGAAACAAGTCACATGCAGTATCTTATGATATTTTGTTTCTCAAGTTAAACTGATCTTATTTTAAGGATGTTTATAAAAAAAATTCAGATTAAGACAGACATAACCACAAATGTATTTTAACACATTAACTTTGGACATGTTCAGCTAAGGTTTGACCAATGAAAATGGCCAAAAACTCATTTCGAACAGTATCTCTATTGTTTTAGCATTTACAACCATACAAACTGAGTGTGTTTGTGCACAAAAAGTGTGCAAATCTGTCCTTCAAATAAATGCCACCTGGTTTGATATTTCATATCTAATGCAGTGACATTCACAAATTTGAAGTGTGGCTCAAGTGTCCAGTATTTCTGTGCCCAATGTAGCTGCACACACATAAAAACAAGTCATTCATATTCACAGACGTCACACATCATAACTCATCACTGCCCTTATGCCTGTCGCTTTAATGAAGAGGAGAAGACAACAGCATTACCCGGATGTCACTATGGTGTCCGAATGAAGACCTCTGACTGGTCCAACCCCCCTCTGCTACAGCATCATCAAAGGGAACAGAAACCTCTGGCACATCAAACACATGTAACAGATGCAGTGCTGATGTCACGACGAGTCAGTTTTTACCTGAGCTCAGCGCACAGAACTTCAGACTACAGGAATACAAAACCAGAACAGTTATATGATACACATCAGCATCTGTGTCTCTCAGTTCCATTAATGATTGTTCCAGAAAAGGCGATTATCATGATGTAATACTCAAATGAACTGGTTTTCAGAGCACAACTGAGATCTCTTTAGTTTTTCAATTGATTCTCTTGGACAGTAATGGAATTGAAATGGAAATCTAATGCGTCACAGATTTCTCTCTTTAGAAAAAGACACCAGTGCTCTCAGTCTAGCATTTCAGAAGAGATCTCTCTGAATCATATCTCAAACTCTGCTCAGATTTGCCAAAATGCTAAGTCACCAAATGAGCTCAATATGAGTTTTTATCCACATTTGTAACCCTGTACTCATATGTTAACAATTGTCTTGTTTGTATCTTTTTATTTCTACTAAGGCATAAGAAGACATATCTGAGATGTTGACAAATAAATCATAACTGAAAACTCCATTAAGCTTCCTGAGGTTTGAACAAGCAGCCTCCGAACAATGAAAATGAGAAAGAATTTGATTTTATGACATATATAAAATATTGCAATTGTTTCTCCTAAACAACAGTGACAATGAAAGACTTCTGTTGAACCTGCGTCTCAGTTTTGTCTGAAAACCACAAAAGAGTTTTGGAAAAGATCTCAAAAATGCCTCACACTGTCTTATAGGTTTACAAAAACCAGAGATTTGAATATGAGCTCACACATTTACTAAAATCTTTCCACAACCGAATTACCTGAGTTATACTGTAGAGTAACATAAAATATTAGCTTGTGATATAATAATATATTATACTCTATCAACAAAAGTGTGGGGTCGTAAGATTTATGGCTTTGAAATAAGTTTATTATACTCAATAAGGCTGCATTGATTTAATAAAAAATGTATTCCTGTGATGCAAAGCTGCCGGTCTTCAGTGTCACATGATCCTTCAGAAATCATTAATATGCTGATTTGATGCTCAAGAAACAAGTCGTGTTCTTATAAGCTTTGTTTAACATTAATATACTTTATATTATTTTGCCATCTCGTTTGAATTAATTATAATGTAACAACATTCTATCAGCTGTCAGCCACTTTAAAAATGGCATCAGGCATTGAAAAGCCCATATCAGTTGACTATTAATGCTATTCGTATGTCACTGTTTATTTTGTCTAATGAATTACAGGAGACACATCTGTGATATGTTTCCCACCTATTTGCTATTACTCAGACAAACACAACTGAGAACTCCATTAAGTCTCTGAGCAAAAAAAAAAAAAGAAAAGAAAATGCAAACTGCATTATCATGCAGCTCAAGACAGATATCAATCCTCTGATTTTCATCTAACTTGTTGAACTTCCACAGTGGCACAGTGTTTTGGAAATTTGACTTGATTCTCAGCCAATTCGGCCTAGATTTATGAGTAACTATTCTCAGAGGACATATATGTTTGAGATTAAACAGATCCCCTTTATCACAGAACAGAAACAGACGCTTTCATCAAGGTGTCCATGGCCATTTAACTCTCTCAGACACAGAGGAACGCCACCCCCTCTCTAATAGATTAGGGTTTGGCACGGTGCCGCGTGACGGGATGAGAGTGGACAGATGAGTGCAATAGATTTCCCCCTCATCACACACGGCAAACCGGTCAAACACTGCCATCATGTGTCCTGAGAGGAGCGGACATTTCAGCACAAAGCAAAGGAGTCAGTCAGTATCATCTTTAAACATGATATAACAGATGCTGAAGTCATGCAGTTAACCAATGATATTAAAACCTTATTAAAAGTCTCTTATGCTCATCTAGGCTGCATGTATTTGATAAAAAATGTGACATATCATTATAATTTAGAATAACTGTTTTTTTATTTAAAATGTAATTTATTCCTGTGATGCCAAGCTGAATTTTCAGCATCATTACTCCAGTCTTCAGAGTCACATGATCATTCAGAAATCATTCTAGTATGCTGATTTGCCGCTAAAGAAACATTTATAACAGATACTGAAGTCATGCAGGCAACCAATGAAAAAAAAAACTCAAAAATAATAACTTCTTATGCTCACCAAGGCTGCATTTATTTGATCAAAATTGTGAAATGTTATTTTAATTTAAAAGAAGTGTTCTCTATAAGAATATAATTTAAAATGACATTTATTCCTGTGATGCAAAGCTGAATTTTCAGTAGCCATTACTCCAGTCTTGTGTATCCTTCAGAAATCATTCTAATATGCCAGTTTGCTGCTGAAGAAACATTTAGTACAGACAATGAAGTCATGCAGGTAAACAATGATGGTAAAACCACACAAATAATCATTTTAATATTTTAAATGACACTGGTAGAGCTGAAAGTGCAAGTTAAGGTCAAAATCAATTTCATTCTTAACAACAATATGATTTTGTTTGTCCTCAGCAAGGAATAAAAATATAATTGTGGTCTTCTTTCATATTCTATCCTACCCCAATTGAGATGAACCCAAAGTGACAGACAATAATCAACCCCAGCCTCCCATCCTCCCGGAGTAGCGGAGTGTGCATCACTCCCAAAGAAACAGACAAATCACCCACACCACACACTCCACGGCTGCCACCACACACACTGCGGGAGACACTGCACAGAAACAACCACCTGTTGATCCCGCATCTCCACCAAACTGACTACAGATGCATCACTTGCGGAAATCCCTCTTTGGTGCTTTGGAAACACTTCCCAAATTCACCTTGAATCTAAAACTAAATATTTCCTCTCAATCCTTTGACTTTAGTTCCTCATGCACTTTTCTCAAAGCAGAACTCTTACCTCACATCTGCAGCGCTCGCAATTCTCTCTCGGCGTCTGAATTAGTGAGGTCCAAAATATCATCAGGCTGCAACTCTGAAAAGCTCTCTGCCTCTTGGAGATGGACACAACAACTGAGCAGAACGAAGAACGGGAGGGAGGTACAGAGTGAGAGCGAGAACGACAGATATAGAAGCAGCTGGAGGAACGTTAATGCAGTCAATCAGCGCAGCAACATGGGGTTATGAAGCTCAGAGCTGGAAACGAGAGCTTGTCCTGTGCAACAGATGAACACGAACCCCACCAGCCCCCTGCCAATGCTCAGTTCTCCCCTCAGCATCTGTACCACCCACCTAACCGCTCCCCCACCTCTCTGTCTCTCCGTAATCAGTGACGAGAGCCCATTCATGTATCCTATTTGACAGCCAGGGGTGCCACTGGCTGAAATGCAACACCATGCACGGTCTGAACAAGGGGACGGTGAGAGATCATAGATCATGCAAAGGGTTCAGATTGAGAATTTTGGTCTCACGTCCTTTTCTGTCCCGTTATCCGCCACTTTTGTCTTCCCATCATTCATGTTTTTCCCTCCGGTGTCTGCTAAGCTCACTATCTGGATTTCAATAGGACAGGAATGGTTTTATGTTTTTTTTCTGAATGCATTTCGTGGCCGTGGCGTGTGTGATTAATCTGGTTTTGCAGAGGACGTAACCATGACAATCAATATGGAGCCTCCAGGGCTTTTTAAAAGACAACAGGTTGGTTGGAGAAAGTGTGTGTGTGTGTGTGTGTGTGTGTGTGTGTGTGTGCAGGGACGGTTTTATTTATTTTTTTCTGAATGCATTTTGTGGCCGTGGTGCATGTGATTAATCTGCTTTTGCGGAGGACGTAACCATGACAATCAATATGGAGCATCCAGGGCTTTTTTAAAAGACAACAGGTTGGTTGAAGAAAGTGTGTGTGTGTTTAGTGATGTGCTGCCTTGGCTTAAACCTCAGCTTCTGTTTCTCAATTAAATTAGCATGTGCTATTTACTGTCTCTCTTTCCCTCTTGCTCGCTCGC